CTGAAAAGTAGTTTTGCAGCTTTTGTGTTGGTACCTGGAAATTATAATTAACAACTCTAGAATACAGCCAAACAAAACCTGTGATTCTCGTTAACAAAACAAAAGCGTTCACGTCCGTTATGCTCCCTGTCAAGCTGACTCAGAAAACTGACAACAATTACAGAGCTGTGTTTTGTCTAAATGTTCATTGTCCAGAATTCAAAAGCCAGTCCGACACGAGTGTATGTTTATTTTCCTCCTGTGACTCGTGTCATTGGCATCGCGTGCTATATAGCAGCTGATTCTGTTCGTGCGTCTGCTCACGTGACCTTCCGTTAGCTGTGCCCGCTCGAGGTAATTAGCCGGTGTCGCTGCCTTTTGCGGCGATCTGGCTCGACTATCGTGATCAATGATACGACACTGATAGCTCGCGGAATCGAGTTTGTGCGGGCTGTAACGCTGTTTTTACTTTTTTTTTTACTCATTTCGATGGTGCAGTTAGCCCACGCACACGGATTTGCGAAAACTTCACTTCCGCTTCGGCTCCGTTGCGGCTGTCTGTGCGTGCTGGGGCTTTCTAAAATCCAATCCGCTACGCTGAGCGATATGCTGTGTCTTTGTGAGGTCGCAGATCTCACCGAAGTTCGAACACACGTCTGCAAAATAACGATGTCCGATGACACAGCCAGTAAGTCATCTTTGTCGATGTTCAAAATCCAGCCCCCGCCACTGGAAATCCCCATGTAGATATCTACGCGTATTTTGTAAACATTCACCACAAAATGCGTCTTTGCAAGTCTGAACTATGCTGTCTCACGAATTTTGTGTCCGTTTAACGCAGCGGGATGCCAAAAATCGCCTCATGCATTCGTTCACGGTCACTGACGCGCTAGTTACGTGTAGCAAGTCGAGCCGTGAGTATCCCTGGCACGCGGAGGGGACCGTTAGTCCTTCAGACAGAGAAGACTGATGCCTCTGTCCACCTGCCGTTGAGGAATGCGTGTCTGCGTGGCCGAGGAATGTGTACGCACTCACAGCATGAGCACGGAAACGGACACGGACAATGACATGACGGACACGGACACGGACACGGCACAGGTATACAGGCAAGGACATAGGCACAGACACAGGAATAGGCATAAATAAAGGTTCCAGCAAAACACAGACAACTCATGGGCACAGACTAGTCACAGTTTTAGCCACATTCAGCATAAGTCACAGTCGCAGCCGCAGTCGCAGCCGCAGCCACGACCAGCATTCTGGGCGTGGCAGAGGTCCCTACCAGTGTCCACTGTGCAATGTGCAATGTTCATTCAGGGCGAAGCAGTTCATGTTTATAGAGCCAGAGCTGGTGTGTCAACTGCAGTGGTGGTTGAACCCTCAGAGGGTGGCTGGTGGCCATGACTGACGTCTGGCATCTTGACGTGCGCTCAGATGGAAATACCTACCAATGATGTTTGGGATCTGGCGAGAGTTGCACCTATCTGTGTTTTGGACTGATGGTTTATTATTTCCTGAGACGGGTTAATTCCGAATATTATTGAAGCATGGCGAACTTAATGGCAGTCTCAGCCTTTTACGGGCTGCAGGGTCGCAAAGGAATTTATTTGAAAATGTTTGGTATCTTGAGAAGCATAGTAGATTCCATCGCGTTCAAATTCTTCCCTAAACGCGGTCGCAAATGGTAACCGTTTAACTGCAGCGACAAACCGTATTTCTCGTACCATGATATCTTCAACGAACCCTACCGGTTTGTGAAACCGCACTCGAATTGCATTTCAACCGTATCGGAACCCCGAGTCGAATCAAATGCATATCACATCCGAGTGCCTTCCACACATGGTGGTAGGGTCCTGCACCGTTAGTCCAGTTATCGTGCACGGTGCCTTGCTTTTGTCAATGTTCCCAGGATGTCACTGATCGACATGATGTTTACACGACCGGTAAAGGCAGCTGATGCTTGCCATGTAAAGTCTGCATATCTTGATAAAGACTGTCAAACAAGGTGTCTCGGCTGTAGTGGAGTGGAGATTTACGGATTTTAGTGGCATATCCATTGATTTGGTGATGGATGGGCGCATTGATGTTAGGTATGATCGATTGTTTCATGGTGCAAAGCTGGTCTGATCAGAAAACAATCTCGACGTTTTCTGATTGATTTATACGGTGCACGCTTCTGGTCGATAGTCGGTATGGATAGCGTTTCTTACGCGGCAGATTAGCTACCTGCATTGCACAGTATAATACAGTGGTAACTTGGTATTTTTTGATAAAAATGCATATTTTGCAGCAAGCACTCTGCAATGGTGCCATCGCCTCTCTGTTCCTGCCGTAGTCTGTAATGACAGAAGTCAGCCGTTTCCTCACTCCTCAGGAAAATTAAGCATTCACTATTTTACGGTGGCTGCGTGCTCCACGGGTTTAAGCGGCTAATCAGATGTGTTTGCCGTATTAAATCAGCACCATGGCGCTTTGAAGCCGGTAAAGTTTGTTGCATTATACCCACAAGTCGAACACAAACACATTGCAGCAAAAAAGTTTGGCATTTATTTTCGGGAAACAAGAGAAAAAACACCTATTTCTTTTACGGCTCTTCATGCCTGCGATCATATGGTCCCTTCACCACCAAACTTTCTGCAGAAATGCGCTCGTTTTTGATGTTTTTCTTCCCTAAAGTTTGCGATACATGCCGTGCGCTTTCCGCTGGTTTCCCGTCGGTTTTCCGCTAAACTCCCGCTGGCTTTCCGCTCATCTCCCGATCATCTTCCGCCTGTCTCCCGCTGTTTCGTGGTAAACACCGCGCGGTACGGGATGCCTCATCAACCTCCCCCGCTCGATTTGAGCGCTCCCTCGTCAGGAGCGAGCGGACCCGCCGGAATGGAGAGGCTCATCAGCGCGGGGCTGGAGAATTGAGCGGCGCTTCGCGGCGAGGAGCGGCTACTCAGGGCGGTGGACAGGGCGGATGAGCGGTGGACGGGGCAGCAGGCGGTACAGCATGTGGTCAAACGCTCTGAGCAGCACAGTGGGCATTAACTGATGTGATGGCCCACCAGGACCGGACGCCTGCCGACAGACGAGGGGCTGATATATGGACTGGCGCTGTAGGCGGTCGAGGTGATAATACAGCGTCCGATAACAAACAATGGAAATCGGCGCTGTGCTGCGGGCGGGTGAGGGATATGGGATCCGCATCAGATTTGACACATAATCAGAAATTTACCAGTGCCTTCCGTTGATCCGTTCTATGGTTATATCAAGTGGTCGGTATTCTTTACATCCTTTCTTCTGCCCTTTTGGTCAGTCTTTTCTTTTTAATATCTTCCGTCTCGTTTTCCCCGAAATCATCGCTGTCTTCTAGTCGTTTTATTCCGAAGCCTTTTTGAGATCACCCAGCATTTAGCACCCCGATGCGCTTATATGCAGTCTCTTCATTGCGCCCAAGGCGGTGACCGCATTTGGCAGGCTGAGCAGCACGGTACCTATGTCACGGTTTCACCTATTCACCGATCACCCGCGGCGGTCACTAGATCGGAACCGATATGCGCACGGTTATCCATTCAATCTCTGGGGCTACGGTCACTCCTTTACTCTCCTTTCATCCCCCTCTCTCTCTGTCTCTCTCTTCCTCTCTCCCTCTCTCTGTCTCTCTGTCTGTCTGTCTCTCTCTCTCTCTCTCTCTCTCTCTCTCTCTCTCTCTCTCTCTCTCTCTCTCTCTCTTTTCCTCTCTCCCTCTCTCTGTCTCTCTCTAACTCTCTGTCTGTCTGTCTGTCTGTCTGTCTGTCTGTCTGTCTGTCTGTCTGTCTCTCTCTCTCTCTCTCTCTCTCTCTCTCTCTGTCCCCCTCTCTCTCCCTCCCTCCCTCCCTCTCTGACCACCCCCATCAGCTGTCCTGCGCTGGACAGTGGACACATCCTCTCGCCACTTTCTCTCCGTGGGCTGTTTGTGTCACTGTTGACGACATGGCGACACTGAATGATGTCATCGCTCACCAGCCGCCAAGCACTATACCTACTTTGTATGCGTGCGACACGATTTGTTCGACCTCTTTGATAAACTGTTCTTTTTCGGTCTATGCATCCGGTCTTCCGTGAGCATTATGCGGAGGTGTTTTTGTTGCTTGTGAAAACTCTTTCGTTTTTTGGCCGCTAAAACGTTGCATTAAGTCGCTTGATTCTTCCGTATTGCACCCTTGACGAAGTAAACTACGAGATATTGCTATTGTATGGTATGCATGACTAAATCGGTTGAACGACAACACGCGTCTTATCTTCTTCGAATTGGTGACTCCTTTCCGTCAAGTACTGATGATCTTAATCTCTATTCCCCTTCTCTCTCTCTCTCTCTCTCTCTCTCTCTCTCTCTCTCTCTCTCTCTCTCTCTCTCTCTCTCTCTCTCTCTCTCTCTCTCTCTCTCTCTCTCTCTCTCTCTTCCTTCTCTATGTCCCTCACCCCATTCGCTCCGGGCCACCGACCCTGGACATTACTGTGCCACATCAGGAAGTGGACCATTGGACAGAGAATGCATTATGCGTGCGGGCGGCGACGGTGGGGGCGGGGGCGGGGGCGGTCACCCTTCTCGGACCACCCACCTCGCTCTCCGCCCTCCACCCGCGACCGCCATCCGCCCCACAGGTCATCAGACGCCGACAGAAGCCGTAGCGCTGGCCGATAACGGAGTATGACCCGAATCTGCCGCTTGTTTCCCTCGATAGATAGTGTATTGAGCGAGTTTTTAAGATTCATTGCATGTAGTACACGTGTTGGAATATGTACGCTGGAGTTTATGCTGAGGAAACGATGTGATCGGACTTGTTTCGCGTAGAATTGCGGCGCAATGCGTGGTGATAAGAGATGCCTCACCGCGGACCAGGACCGTTGGAAAAGGCGTTATACCGTCTTGCCCTCCATCTCTGCCACGCCGACTGTCCGGTGATGTGCTCGTTCGTGACCTATGTCTGTCTGTTTGTTTGTCTGACATGTTTGTCTGTCTGTCTGTTTGTCTGACATGTCTGTCTGTTCGCCAGCTGCTGAACTCGCTGGCCCGTGATCTGGACCACATGCTGAACGACCTCAGCCTGGACCCGGACTCTGAGCCGCCGCCGCCCACAAAGCACTACCCGGTCACCCGCTCCGCCACCTGCCCCGTCACGAGGTCAGTCAACGTGTCACGTGACCGAGGTCACAGGGTCACCCGCTCCGCCACCTGCCCCGTCACAAGGTCAGTCAGAGTATCACGTGACCGAGGTCACAGGATCACCCGTCCCCGCCACCTGCCCCGTCACAAGGTCAGTCAGTGTGTCACGTGACCGAGGTCACAGGGTCAGTCAGTGTGTCACGTGATCTAGGTCACAGGCTGGTCACGGTTGGGTCACAAGGGTCACGTGACCTTGGTAACAGGGGTCAATCTTAAAAAGTCGAGCTTGCATTTAAGACCAGCTTCGAGAGACCTATCCGATACCTACAGGCTACATATATCGATAGTCGCTTGAATGCATTTTTGTGCTTTGGTGATTGGTAATTGCAGATGAGAACTGCTGCTTTTGTTGAGAAAGCTGATTTATCATCAGTTATATTCATCACTCTAAAAGTCGACCAGTGGGCAGATGATCGGAAGTTCATATGCCCAGTCTCTCACACAAGATCCTTTTGTATCGTAACCCTTCCTTGTTCCATTATCTGATCAACTAATCCCTTATCGATGGCCAGAAATTCTACATGATCCACCACTCGAAACGTGAGCCCCTCCAATGTTCCTGATAAGCTATCGAAATGTTGTCACGGTCCTTTGGTATGCCGTTAATTTACCGCTGTGGAAATTTCTCGTAAGTCGAATATCCGCGTTATTCAATTTATTTATTGATACGGTGGCGATAAACTTGCTTTTGACTCTTTTTTGGTAGTAGTGGGGAGGCGTATTGCCGTTGCCCCCTGCCACTGTCACCGCCGCTTTGCAGGCCACACATTCTGTCAACCCCGAACCATCTCGCTCACCCACTCACTCAGGTTCACCCACGCACACTAACTCACCCGCTCACTCACACTCACCCAACACGTCTGGCGACCTTGCGCCGAATGTGCGTCAACTTTCGCCGCTGCTGCGCCGCCTCTGTCGCCCCCGCACTGTCGCCTCGCCATTCGCAGTGACAGGCGAGAAGCCCGTGTCGGGAGCGAGCTGGAATGCCAAACATGGTCATCAGATGAGACACAGTTGCAAGAAACGGTCACGCTGCAAGCGCGCTGTCGGAAATTCTCAGGATAATTCTCAGCTGAAAGCGGCAAAGCTCTGCTTTTCGAAATGTACAAATATGGGTTGGGCGCGCCCATTTGCTGTGACGAGGGACTTGACCTCCAGCAGTGTCACTGATAGCTGTTTCCCAGAAACTTCAGGCCACAGGGGACCTCGAGTACGAGCTTCCCTCCTGGTGTGACGAAGAACAGTGAGTGCAGTGTATCTCACTCTGTGCTCCGTGGTGGTCTCTCATCAAGTGTGAACCTCAAGTGGTGAGAGGGGAGGGGAGGGAGAGAGGGGAGAGCGGCGGCACGCGCGCCCACGTGTGACCCTCAGGCTTGTTTGCGCTCCTCAATCTTCAGTGCCGGCGCCCGCTGCCCGCTGCCTGCTCCGTGCTAACTGCTAATGCTCTGTGTCCCACTGAGTGCGGGGGAGGCGGACATGGGGAGGCGAGGGAAGGTATGCCACCAAATGACTTGATGAGGCCGAGAGATATGTTACCCAGCGCTGAAGGTTATTTATGACATTTCTTTTAAAAAATGTCACAATTATTTTCGTTATATATTTAGCAGATGTCAAATATGTGCTAAGCATACGGACCTTTTCTGAATGTTTAGGCAAATGCTCCTTGCAGTGTTGTGACGGCTGTAACGTTTGTGTTTGTTCATGCGATAGCATTAATTTTATCGATGGTCTGTGAACATAAATGAAAGCGGTACGAATTGGTGTCTGGCACCACCCTATAATTTGCGGTAATTTTTTCGTTCACGCCCATTGATAACGTAATAATAGCTTCGGGTGTTGGCGTGCATAACCAGTGATCCGCCCTGAGACATGAGTCATTGCATTACAAACGCGTCATTTATCACCCACATGTGCAAAGTTTATTATTCAATCGCTCTGTATGATGACTTTGTGACAATCGTAATCGATGTTACGTATCGATTCTAGTGCCTTATACGGAAGGTGCCCACGTATTTCGAGGGAAAAATATATCGTCTTCGACGGCAGCATCCTTGTCAGCTTTCTTCTTCCCACCCCTCCCACCTTTGCTCGCTTATTTCCCAGTGCCTCTCGTGTTGTGGTGCACTGTGGAGCTCATTTTCCAGCGTTTCTCATGTTGTGCTGGCTCACTTTCCACGGTGTTTCGTGCTGTGTCAGTCTCCTGCTCGGCGTTCCTTTCCTCCTCAACCGGCGTACCACCACCCCCGAGTCGAGTTTTACTGCCGCCTCCTATTGTGGCTCGGCTCGTCACAGAGCTGTGGCTGTTGTTTGGACGCATACCTGTGTGTCCGGGAATGTTTCCAGAACGCTTGAAGCGTGCTCGACCCGCTGAGACGGTGCCCGGGACCTCCCGGGTCGCGGTGACCCGGGGTCAGTCGCGCACGGTTCCCTCATTCCCTAATCGTATTGGTGGAGACTCCGCGCCGGTCGCTGGGACAAAGCGAGAGGCTAGCGCTGCTGAATTGATATCGGAGATGCGCAATACCGTCAAATTCACTGTTCGGCTATATAAGACCCGCATCGTATATTTTTATTATCACTGTCATTAGAAAGCTCAACCTGAACAAAGAAGTTTACATCTGTTGAAACCAGCTGGCAGGTTGGATATCCCTGATATCACCCCATGGACATCTCCCCAGACCACCTATCTGCACCCGTTCAACCCCGCTCACTTTCCCTCTCCTCTCCCCGTCTCTACCAAACCCGCTCTCTGAACAGCCCCACTCCGCTAACACACCTCTCTCGAGTCCTGACCGGTGCCGGTGGCGTCACAATGTGATCAGAGAGAAGCGTCCCGCCGCGTCGGTATGACCTGACGCTGAAGTGGTCGGCTGGAGAGTGGGGCGCGACACGGCCCCGGACGTGACCCGACTACCGGCTGGCCCAGTGGCGCAGAGGGTAGATGGGATTGGACCGACCCGGGCCGCGGATGGGGTTGGCTGACTTCGTTTCGTGAAAGGACGGTGTGAATTGAAAACTCTGAGCCAGAATTGCTAACTAGATCATTGAACGAAGTTGAATTTAAGTAGAATTAAATTTAGTGCAGTACAATTTTCTTGAATTTAGGGAATTTTATTTCATCTCATATCTGCGCTATTCTGTGGAGAGTCAGTTTCTTGTAACCTTCTGCGGTTCGGCATGGTAACATTTTCATTGAACACTATCATTGCATTCCATTCAACTCCATAGAAACTCATCAGTCCATCATTCATTCCCAATCGTCACCGGCCTCCTTTCATCTTCTATAACGCCGGAACTATGCACCAACCCTCACTTCCGGTCGCCAGGCCGACGAAAGGCGACATTGGCAGGCAGCTCAGCCCCCCGACAGGCCCTCCCTCCCCAGCGCCACTCACTCCCTCGGCAAACTTAGCCCCGGTCCTGACGCGACACAGCTGTGAGCGGTCCGCCCCAGCCGCCAAATGGGTCTGGGCCAAGGATGTCCTATCGGACCCCGTGCAACTTCCTGCAACCCAATGCAACGGCGACACACACAGCTGTGTGTACATACGTGTGTATCGGCGGAGGTCGGGGCACTGGAACGCTGTTTGGCGACGACGAGTGTGTCAGAGAATTGGAAGCTTGGTTGACAGTGCAGTGTGGAGGGTTCCGGTCTCCGGAGGTAGATGGACCGCCGGGTGGGCGCTGTCACTGGTCCCCTGTTGCTCGCCGTCGCCGCCGGCGGCGGCGGCGGTGTTTGTGGCGCGGCGATGTTTGTGCCGCTGTGACGTTTGTAGCGCAGCGGGTAGCGTCGGGAATGCCGCCGGGAGACTCTCGTGGCGCTAACGGGGCCGCGCCGCGCGTGCTTCGTGGTGGAGGTAGGTCAGACGGTCTGACAGACTCGCGGGCAGAGGAAGGGTGGAGAGAGAGAGAGAGAGAGAGAGAGAGGAGAGAGAGAGAGAGAGAGAGAGAGAGAGAGAGAGAGAGAGAGAGAGAGAGAGAGAGAGAGAGACCCCGGAGGTGGCAGATCGGAATGAGGTTGAATGATTCTGACTGAATGGAGAGAAAACTGCCCGGGCAATAAGCAATGATGCCTGGAGATAAATGCCCGAAGAAGTGTCCGACTTACAGGAGTCCTGCAGGGTTACTGTAAACTCGAGCTGAATAGTAACCTCAATGTTACCTGGCCGCTCGCCAGCACGGTAAGACACGAACCATCAAGCCTCAGTCGTTTGAACATCGCATTCCACCGGTTACTTTATTGACACTTGGCTTACATCGCACACCATTAGATCAAGGTGCATGCGACTGATGTGCGATTTCAAGTGTGTGACTTACAACGAGTGGGATTATTTTATCGGACACACTTGTGGACTCGGACACTTTCTCGTGTGCGCGCAATCTTATCTTTGTCTGTGATCGTGTTACAACTGTTTGCTGTCTATGCGTTGGACACAGATGAATTGCATTTGCAGTTTAGGAGGCTCTGGTTTGTAAAGCACTTCAGCTCTGAAATAAAGTGGACGTTTGTCTGCACTGCGGAGAGTTCATTGCCCTCTGAGATGGTTGACGCTGCATTGACTGTGATGTTGAACTTGCACAACAAGCCACGAAAACCAGAAACTTTATACATACTGCGCCCCAGGCCGTACAAGGCAGGGCAAGTCGTACCTGTCACACCTGTTGAACGAGTTATGTGATGACTGTAGTTTGGCGTGTCATGAGTCACTAGCTCTTTTGTTCAACTATCCATACCGTATTCTGAATTTGATTTATTGTTCATTGCAACGCTCAGCACCAGCAGCCGTCATATCTGCAGCCAACGTGTAGCTTCGAAGGTCTTTCAATTAAAAACCGATTCACAAAATATACGACGTTGGCACTCAACAACGACATCAGATAGTCGGTGTTTCGTGCCTGGCGATTTTTGCCTTGACGTCAGAGTGACGACATCGGTGACGCGTTCCCTGTCTCTCGATTTGGTCACGATATGTGACTTGTTGACCGAGGTGACTCTGAGACGGTGCTTGGTGTGAGCATTACGCTACAAAGCCTAGATAATCCGCGCGCCTTAGGCGGTCGTCAACTTCGAGTAACGTTTTACCCTTTCCATAAGCCGTGTGATTTACTGGATGTCACGTTATTTATCCGGTATCCACGCTATCTTCTGTGCAGCCATGCTTTTATTGTGTGATCGAAACTGGTTCGAAATTTTTACCAGTTTAGGTGATGACATCCGATGAGCTATCGATCTCATGTCTCTATCGAACGGCACTGTTACTCTTAGAAACTCGAATAGACGCATATATCGTGCTCATTTTCGAACATACGAAGGAGCCACGATCAGTCTCGCGATCATCCACTGTTCTCCCTGTCAGTGCCCTGTTTGATCCTGATCCCCCTTGGTTTTACAATGAACTGTGGCCTATGCCTACATATGTAGTGACGTCTCGCTTCTCTGTCGCTCACAGGATGGCCGCGTGCGACAGCGACCCGATATCGACCTCACCTGACCTGGGGACCGAGCACAAACGGCCGACACAGCTCAGCTTCAGCCGCCACCAGGTCAGTCGGGAGCTGCCAGCTCACGGGTGAGATCGCGAACGGTGTACGTACCTAACCACGGACATGGAAAACAGCGTACAAAGACAGTACACGTAAAGAATAGATACGGACACGGAAGGAACAAACACGAACACAGAAACAATGGACGGCTAATACTGGCCCGGGTCGCCGGCGGACCCGACATGACCCCATGCCGGGCATTGTGGCACACGTTGACCTGGTCTGGTCGTGCCCATTCCCAGGCTTCGACCCTGTTTACCGCAGCGCGTGAGTGCGTGTCACACCGCGGAGTGACCGCCTATCTATCTGATCATACTCCAGGTCTGTGTCATGCTGGTGTGGGCTTCCGTTACTTTGGAATAATTTGAAGCATGGTACGAAATACCAGGTCATTAAATTTACGATTCTCAACACCGGCATAAGACGGATCATTAGCCCCAGCCCAGCACTAGCACTCGTTAGCTTAGTACACACTACACAGTGCTGAACAAACCCTAAAATTTCAATCAGCACCGCGCTGATCCGAGCTGAGCCAACTCTCCGAGTGCTGAGTGCGTCAACCGTACCGTTAGGTGGCGTCGTCGGTGCCGGGGGCGCTTTCAGTTCGATGGCGCTACTGTGGCACCCCACCGCACAGTGGGCGTTTCAGGGGTTCTAGCCTCTCACAACCTTTCAACCCTTATAGCCTTGGATCTAGGAGACCTACGCCTACGAATTACACGCCAAACTGTAGCAAATTCATTAAAGAACGTGAATGCATGACGTTTCCCATGTTATAAGCTTTCGCAATGTGCAGGAACTGCATGAAATGTTGCATAAACGTGGCAAAACGGAGCACTTCCATTCCCCCTTGCGGTTCGGCCCCTGATATAGCTAGAGCTTTGCGGAAAAAAACGAGCTTGCTGCCCGTGATGAGACGAAGCCGATGATACCCAATTTTAAGGTCCTAGGTCATTGGTTGACCTTCCAGATCAGGTCAATTACCCAAAAGTCGGGAAAATCGGAACCTGTTAAAACATCGTAAAGTGAGGTTGCTTTGGGGCTTTTCGGGGTGCTGATCACGAATTTCATGCTAGTTTTGATCACAGATGATTTCTCCACGCATTTAGGCCAGGTCGGGTCAGATCAGGTCAGGTCAACCAGTATGCGCCCTGCCGGGTATTCATAGTAGGTGTCAACCGCTACTGACAGCCTCGTAACATGATAAGAAGGCACCAAAACTACTTCGTAAATGCTCAAATGGTCGCTAAATTCGAAATCAGCTCCAAAAACTAGCCTAGAAACATGTAAAACTCGAAAAAGTGAACCGAGGTCACCAAAGGTCAATGACCTGACCTGACCTTCAGGTGACCTTGACACCCAGCATATAATGCATGGAACCAACATCATTTCACATGATTGAACGTTTGAAACCACAAAAAGACTGCAACCGCGCGGATAATGTGAGCCGACACGCCGAATCGCGATTCCGGCCAAACATGGTCTCGGAAAATAGGTCACAGGTCAAAGGTGATTTGGGTCAGGGTCATGAAATTTTCAGTGTAGGTGTAAAATTGATTAACCCGAATGTACTGAAAGTTTCGTCTTGATCGGCCACTTTTTACGCGAGTTATTCGCGAAAAAACGAGGGTGGTCCGTTCGACCCCTTATAAGTCCGAGGGTTAAGGTTTTGAGTCGTTGACCTCGAGTCAAAGTCTGGTAAGAGTCCCTCAGGTCACGAACTTGGTCAAAGGAGGTCGACTGTCTAACTTACTTTGTTCCGGAGGTATTGACGGAAAACTAATATGGCCCTTGTGACGTCATAAATGACGTCATGCAAGGTTAGCAATGCAAAGGTGTAGCACCGTACCTTGCAGGGAGCGCATGAAACCATGATTTCATGTGCTTGAGATAGTTTTAGATCATTCCTGGCGCTAAAATAACAGTTTCCATATTTCCCTCATTGACTTATAACGGTGAGATCACGTGACCGACCTAACCGCATGTGAACTTTAGCAAAAAATGCGAGATATACAAGTTGTGAGACCTCGGAGTATGCTACGTACTGTAAGTTCTATCTTCCTGTGAAAGTTCCTCTGGCACTGAGGGCGTTGCGACGTTGCGACATCTGAGGACCGTGCAGAGGTTCACTTATGACGTCATAGGTCAGCGACCTGACCTGACGTGACCTGAAAATGCGGTTGATTTAACCAGATCCGGCTTGAATCAAAGGTCAAGTATGCCAAGTTTCAGCTCTTTATCGGGGGGGCAGCACCCCCCCCCCCCGGCCTCGGGGGGGGGGGCGTGACTTATGCAGAATTTCCCATTAACTCATGTGCAATACCTCATTTTTTTAGGAAACAAAATGTGTTTAAGGTTTCGCGAGACCAGACCGGCCGGATCGCCCACTGTGCATCGCCTGAGGCCTTTCTGGTCACGTGACAGCTCATCCTCCGGTCAATTAGAATGTTTCTGACCCACGAGATAACACTGGCTGGTGTTACTGTCATCACTTGAAATAATATAAGCTAAAATGCAGGCTGATTTGTTCGCTCCCGTCACTATGGAGCTAATAAAGGCTAGACAGCGTATTGCAAAATGTTGCATAGCAGCAAATGGCGCAAGTTTGCGCACTTTTTTATTGCTTGGCCGGTTCAATAACATCACAATGCACATTGTGACACACGATTTAGAGCGGGACCTGGGGGAACTCAAAAGATCGGCTTTAACATAGTGAGTGATATTCATTTTAAGCATACAAAATAACTCGATGACATGTTTATCTCTCATGCTGCTAAATGATTTTCGCAACTTCATTTTTCGTTGCGCGGAATTGGTCGTAACATGTCACAGAACAACTCATAAAACCATTTACGTGTAAAACTCACGCACATAGGATCCCCATGGCATCTACTTTGACTCTTCAAACACCCGAAAACTATGACCTGTCTACAGCCTAAGAAATATTTGTGTTTGAAGCCCCTTTCACCCTATACCAAGTTGTTGCATGACCAGATAATGGTCATTTATGTAATGTATGGACATTTTGTAGTCGATTGGTATGCTTTTTGTTTTCATAAAAGCAAAATAATTTTTTTGCCTCGTAAGAGGCTAGACCGGCCCGAACGCCTACAGTGCACCGGCGCCCCGATGGCGCCCGCACGGCGCCCCGATGTCGGCGACCGGTGCCCTCCCGACACTCCGCTCACAGTGCCATGCTGATGTGGCAGCATGGCAGTCTTTTTGCCAATATAACCGCGTCAGATGTGAATATCCTGCTCAGTCGAACTCGTATCTCAGGCAACGGGGTCGATGGCCGCGGCGATAACTGCAAGATGATTCGATGACTATGGTAATTTCTGGATTTGAAAATCAGTTCAACTTCAGTTCAATCAGTTCATTCCCAACGCTTCACGTGCATCAAATTAGATTATGGTAAGTTATGCAACATGAAAAACGAATTTCTGAACAGACTTTGCTAATGTTGTGTCAAAACAAACGCTATTTTTTGTCGTCTTATCGCTTTTTGCTTCTATTTTGTTGTAAAAAATAGCATTTGAACGTGACCGATTTCACTTGAAATTACCACTGCCGTCGACACTAGTCTTCCATTTGACAGAAGCCGTCTCAGCGAGACATTTATGGCCGGGCTGCTAAGAGGGCAGCGGAGATTTACCGTCTCGGCCGCTGTTAGAAGTGTCAGAAGGCCGCCGTTAGCGCCCGGACGAGCTGTAATGACGGGCTATCCACGGTTCGGATCCACCCCGGGTTGGCCTGACGCGGCCGTTGTGAACGGTTTTCGTCCGGGCTCGTGGGTGTGGGTGGGTCTCCTGACTGGGCGTAGGTGCGGACAAGGGCGGCGTCGTTTCCTTTTACCGGTCACGGCGTCGCCGGCGCTGGAGATCCGGTTTTAAATCGAGCCCAACGGTCGTTCGGCGGAGGTGTTTAAATCAAGTTCCGCGGTCGTGACCAAACGAAGAAAAACGGCGGCACAACGACCCATTCATTCGTGTTTGGAGAGATCGGTTGATAGCTACTTAGATAGCGCTGCTACGGTGTGACTTGAAGTTTGAATCTTTGTTTGGCTTCCGGTAGCCGTATAAGGTTTCGGTGACGTCAGGATGGATAATCAAAAGCGCCGACAATGAATGAGCTGCTCGGTTAATCGGCTAATTTGAGCTGAATGCGACGCCGTAATAAGATTTCCGGGGTGAATGAATTGAAGTGGGTTTTAAATTAAAGCAATGGTTAATGCCTACCAAATTAATCGTAAAGAGAGGCTATAAACACTGCTTAGAGCTTCTTAGGCAGTCTTGTAAGGCAGTATTTTTAGGCAGTTGTAAGGTCCACCCGCTCAGGATGTCAGGAGCTTAAAACATATGCCGCCTGCTCTCGTCTTTGCTAATGCTGTTGCAATTAAAACACAGTGAGCTTTGATGTCTTTAAATAGCGCTCATTACTTTTTGAGGTCCGACCCGTTACATTACTGTGGTCTTTCCTCAAATGGCACTGCACCGTGTCACGCAGTTCTATTTAACGTTACTGGCCTGCTCAATTTTAAATTGAATAACACCCTGTTTTCCGCATTCGCGGCCAACGACGACATTGCTGGTATCTGTTGATTTGAGAAAAGGAAAGAAACGATGCTTTTTTCCTTACCTCGCCCTTCCCTGTTTCTCTCAGCGCAAGGAAAGTATTCTTGCATAACCATAAAGTTTGTCATTCTGAGACGATTTCGTCTTTTGCCCGGCGTTTTGTTTACTCTCTCCACGTAAACGGGGAGTTATCTCCAGCGACCGTATTCTGTCTTCCAGTGCCGTCTGTCTTCAGTGTTTTATTACCCTTTAGCTGTCACATGTAGTCACACAACATAGCGCTGTTTTGAAGCTGTCCCAAAGAAGATGACCCTAAGCCGACCTAGAGTACCGGGGTGTAAAAAGGTCATGACCTGTCTGTGACACTTTCTAATGGCATCAAGGTTTGACTGCACTTCTTCATTTAAACGGCATGTCAGCTTCAGTAAAAATGAGTGAATGGAACGCTTTACCACTGCACCAAAGTGAGTGTGACCTCATATTTTGTCGAGGTTGCAGTGCCTATCGCTGTTTGGTGTCCCTCGCTGGCCTTAGACCGTAATAATTTGTCGACTTGTCTGACCTGACATGACCCTGCCGATTACTATTGATAGATAGTCTGGGTCACTGGTCGACGTTAAGCTGTTGAACGAAATAGATCTTTGCCATTTGACAGCTTATGACATCTGCTGACCTCTATTGACATGTTGTCCTACGTTGGCCTCTGCTGTGACCTCTACAAACATCTGATATGTTCTCTGGCCACTGTGACCTCCCTGTGACCTTTTCTGGCCACTGTAACCTCCCTGTGACCTTTACTGACCTCTGTTGACCCCTCCCCCAGGAGGACAGCGCCGTGTCGTCCTGCTCGGAGCCCGAGTACGGCCGTCCGGCGCAGATGAGCGTCTCGGAGCGTCTGATCCGCTGTCATCCCGTGTGGTTCATCTCTGGTCTCCACCGCTCCGGAGCAGATCACCTACTGCACGATAAACCGGCCGGCGTGAGTACCTCAGGGGCAGCGCCGCTGGGCGTGGTATGGGGCCACGACGGCAGGGAAAGGGTGGAGCTGGTACAGAGAAAGAGAGACAGGAACATTTCTGTGGGTATGATCTACTCATAAAGTGAGGATGGTCGAGGATGAGTGGTAGTCTTAGTGGATTTGAGGCTTTTGTGATAAGCGGTGATACGTTTTGATCCGAGTGTGGATTTTGGGTTTGTAATGTATTAAATGATAAAGGGACATCGCAAAGTGTCACTGACGCCAAGGGTAGGGGATGCATGTCGAACGACTGTTGTGCTATGTATGGTTGTTACACTGGATTCGACACACTGTCACCCCACAAACATTCGGTCACTTACTTCACAACCATAAGTTGACACGGAAGGAAAATGAGGAAAATGGTGATCCATCGGAATACGATCACCCTGAACATTGTCAAAAGACGAGGTGCAACTGTGTCAACAAGTTGCTTGGATCGCTGGCTTACAGGAATATTTATTACAACGCGGAAACATTGCCTTAACTCTGTGGCTTAGTGATAAGATGCTTTTGGTCTGTGTCACGAAACGAATCGATACTGGACTTTTTACTCCATAGCAAAATGAATAATGAACTGCATGCTGGGGAAACGGGACCTTTAGCGACCTCCTGGCCTTTCAGTGACGGGCCACAAACGCTCGCTGTCCATAGGTCAGCAACGAACGCCAATCCAATCACTGTTGTGCCGTTACAGTTAGTGCCTGTAATATAACTGAATGATGCCCATATGTATCGCTTACAGCTGAGCGTTTTAAAAGCTTAAGTTATCATCACTCGTCATGATTGTCGTCGTTGAAATGATATTGTCAGAGACAAGATGAGCGTGAGAAGAGTGTGATGAGCCATTCAGAGCTCAGACGACGCCGTGAGATAGTGATGATCCTTACATCGGCATAGCTCTCACGTATTGCTCAGTTTTTCTGTCGCCAAAAACGAGACGGCCTGGAGGCGTGGGCGGCCATCTTGATCGAGGTGAAAAGTCTGTTTTACTTGGCAGTGAAGTCATGAATCGGAAAGCACTGTTACGCGCAAGTCTTGCAAGGATCTCAAAAAGGCTTCAATGATGATCGATATGATTAATTTTATTGGTTTCATGGAATCAAGGCATTACATAATAATGTAACGCCACGCTTTGCAAACAATACAACAAGGAGAGGGCATTTTCACCTCGGATTATTGTGTAACCGATTTCGGCCGTTGCACTATGCCACCCACAAGAACTGTGGATTTATTGAGCCGTTTGGAGTCGGGCCATAAGAGGTGCGGCAGTTGGCAGGGCCGGTGACAGGTGCCTGTCAGATTCTGGGGGGCGTGGCTGGCAGACCGATGTGCAAAACTGACAGTCTGCGGTCTCATTGACACATCGCGTCGTCTCATCGACAGCTCCAGGCACTTAATCAATCGAGGAACGTCACTTTCTGATGAAGTTATGTGCTTGTATTGAAGATTTACCTAAATACTTTCGTTTCTTGAAGCTAGCTTATGTCATTCCTTCGCGTCTCCCCTGATATTCCCTGTTGTGTATCAACATTCTGAGCTCCTAGCTGTGCTTCCTGTAGGGACAAGAGCGCACATTAACCCCAATCCCGGGAAACTTACCAGACGATATCTATGCAAAACGGCGCGTGAGGTAACCGTTAAACCACATTGTGTGGGACAACTGAAGGATTTATCGGAACATTCTTCTCTCTCCCCTTTCCTCCCTCTTCTCTCTCTCCCTCTCTCTCTCTCTCTCTCTCTCTCCCTCTCTCTCTGTCTCTGTCTCTGTCTCTCTCTCTCTCTCTCTCTCTCTCTCTCTCTCTCTCTCTCTCTCTCTCTCTCTCTCTCTCTCTCTCTCTCTCTCCCTCTCTCTCTCTCTGTCTCTGTCTCTCTCTCTCTCTCCCTCTCTCTCTCTCTCTGTCTCTGTCTCTCTCTCTCTCTCTCTCTCTCTCTCTCTCTCTCTCTCTCTCTCCCTCCTCCCCCTCTCTCCATCCCCCTCCCCTCTATCCCTCCATTTGGCCCTGTCGTCGCCTCAGCGTATAGCCCTGCCGCGAGTTCGCTGTACGATCCTTGCGTAGGCGGGCTGTTGACTGAGCTGGAAGGCTATCTCAACTATCGCCTGTACCGAACGGGTCCATTCATTCTGGCGGCCGTGCAAATGGAGCCCCGGTGGGCTGGTTTTGGTCAGTCATCGGCCCGCAGGTGGCGGTCCTGTCAGCGCCTCGGCGGCTTGTGAGCTTCAGTCGGTGTTACTGTTATTTCAAGGTCTCATTACGCCCACTGTAGCTACTGAGCTGACCGGCTGTTAGTTTCTGACGTGTGGGCGGGTCTGGCGTCGCCGCCTTTATATGGGTTGCGCTATGGCAGCATTCCGGTTGACTCGTTCATTCATTGGCTTTGTTCGGTTTTATGATACCCTGCTCCTTCTTGTGAGCGAACCGCTGAACGGTTCCGGATTCCATTCCTTTCGTGCCATTCGGTTTCCTTTGTCCCTGCCGCATCTCCCGGGTCCCCGGTGGCTGTTTTGTCGGCTCCTCCCCGTCCCTCACTCCTTCCGGCCCTGTGGCGCGGCGGCGCGTCTGGGGATTTATCCCCGGGTCTCCGCCGCTCCTCGACTGTCTGTCTTTGTTCGCTCCATATCACAGAGCGCCATCAGAGTCGGCCCTATCACAGCATCGAGACCGGCAGAGGCTTTGTGCCGAACCGGCCGCGCCGCGCGCCCCTGCGGACCGCAGCGGTAAACCTCGACCAAAGACACCCATCCGGCTGCAGAGGACGGCTCCGTGATAGTCTGGGGGAGGTCTGACGCCTGTCGTGACACGGGGTGGGGGGTGGTGTTTGTGTGTGTTTGATAATTGCTGTTCCCGTGTGGCGTGTCGCATGAATTGGGATAAGCTCGCCATTGTCTTGAAAAGTGACAGGAAAATGGAGAGCATGAGCGCATTGCTTATGCTTTACTGGGACCTATTCTCTAACAAGAACAAATTCACCAGTTGATATAAAAGCCGTCGTTCCCGCTTTACGCGATTATAAGTTCCGTAGGCATACCGATTGAATCGGGAGGCGCGAGTGTTGCACGATTTCCCCGCTAGATGTCACTAGTCTCGAACGCCTGCAGGTATGCTGTGCCGCATAGCCTGGAGCCCATGAAGACAGCGCGGCGGAAGATAAGAGAGTTGAGGCTTCCTCCGAGTTATGAATCGAGACGCCAGCAGTGCTAACCTAATGATAAACATATTTCACACATTTCTGCTTAGAAATATTTGCGATAAACATCATGCTTCAAACCTTATTGAGCTAAAAACGGCGTAAATGCGCGATGATACCTATGCATAAGATGCACACAGTCACATGCACACCACTTAATGTTTGACGACCAACATGAAGGGTGAATAAGCAATGCGTAAACAATACTATATGGGCCCGGCCAATCCAATGAGTTTTCCCTTCAAGTTATTCCCGGTTGACCGTTTGTCTTTGCTCTTCCACAGACGTTCATAGTCCGCCAGTCGAGCCCCGGTAAGGAGCAGCTGATGACGCTCTCCGTGAGAATGCCTGCCGGCTCTGCGCCGCCCGTCGACCACTTCCCGATCCGCTCGGCGGCCGGAAAACTGGGCCTCGAGACGTCAGAGAAGCGCTTCGACAGCATCTCCAGCCTGATCGCCCACTACACCAGCCACAGGTGAGAGAAAGGATGATAGCAGACGGGAAGAGTTCGGTGCCGTGGGGTGTGCGAAAATTAGCGTTTTGTATGTGATTTCTAAATTGCGAAGGTATCTCAGACTCGAGAATGGTTGATCCGCGGCACTTGATAAAATGGGACCCATGAATCAGGCTACATCGACGTGATTGATTGTGGAGAGCATGAATGTGCGCTTTTAGATATTCTTTTCGTTCACGGGATTGGCACAGTTACGCTTATTATGTAATGCGGAACGAACCAATAAATTGCCGTATACCTGATTGAGATACATCGGCGCATTCTTTTGGCCCAAAACTCTTTTTTTCGATAACACCAGGCCCATGTCACTCCACTTTTGATGACATCATAAGGGGGCCTCAGGACAATTAATGACGCGGTGCGCCACAATCGCTCCCAAGCTACTTGCCAACAGTTGCCATTTTTGAAAATATTATTTTGAAATAAAGTTTCAAGTAATGAAAATATTGTAATAAAGTTGTAACTTAAATCTAGGTCATATCTAAAAAGTTACTGAAAAATGATTTATCGATAGTAAAAATATAAGCTCGATGCGATTTTACGTTGCTTTCCTGCTGCTGCAGAGGGTTTTTAAATCGTCTATATCTTCAAAACCGGCCATATCTTAGCATATTGCTGCTCTTTTTTGTCGCTGGAAAATTAGTTGGGCTTTCCATTGACATCAACGGCTGAGCGATATGTGTAGAGTGCCATCAATAATCTTCAAATGAAGTTAGTCATTTTTACGTTGCAAAGGAATGGAGTACCCCTTGCGAGCATCAGGGGTGACGTCACTCAGGATCTGTCTCTGATTGGTCGGCGGGGGGAGTGACTGTACCTTCTATAGATGGCCTTGGATAACACCAAGGGATAACACGTCATTCCGCGCCTACCCGTGAAAGAGCGATTAATTCACACCGAACGTGACTCTGGTCCGATACGCTCCTCCTCGCAAACGATCACTCCACCCGCGATTTGACTCGCTAATAACGCTCTTCAATAATCCATCGATCATCTGGTGTATTACCTCGGGCGGTGCCGCCACCGCTGACTGGACCTGGGTCGGGTAATTACCAGGACATGATTATTACCATCGGTGTATTACCAGGAGATGTATATTCATGCCAGATTTGGGAGTAGCAGGCTTGGAATGGCTCATTTAACCCTAGCAGGTAGCAATGCATTCACCGACCAACGCTTCCCGCAGTCTGCTGGATTTCGCAAACGGGTTTGCGCAAACGCTCATCTTTGACACTCAGAATGGGCGCATGTGAATGAACAAATGAAGCTCGCGGAGTGGCCAAAGTGTTTACCATTGTGCGCCAACGTCAACAGCTCAGGCGGCACGGGACCAAGGCATGGTGTGCACATTGCAGAAGAAGGCCAGACACGCGCCGAGCCAAAGACAACGCGGCTCCATGACCCCGATAAGTGCAGTTACGACCGCTCTCCAATAATATTAGTCTCAGAACCTAACCAGCGAAGGATGTTTCATCTCACAGGCTTGCAGAGCTAAGCCGCCGATGAATGCCGCGGCAAAGTTGCAGAGTCGCACCTTTTTGCGGTTTACTATGCGGTGAATTTCGTCACAGTTTGCGGTTGACGGTCCAAAACACATCACTCCGTGCTGAATTTAAGCCGTGTCGGTTCTGTCATAAGCCGCCCCACCTTGTTAGTGTGATAAATGCACCGGACCGGTCGCCGCCACCGACCACTATAATACCCCGCGGAGGGAATTAGTAGGAGGGGAGGAGATTTACCGAGCCGGGAGTCGTGCAGAGGGCTTCCCCGAGCCCCAACCTCCCCGCGAGCTCCCGCAGCTGAACACAGTGAAGACACACGCACGCACGTGTGCAGGGTACGCTCGCGTGCTCGCCGGTCGCTGCTACCTCCGCTAAAATTAGCGGCCGTCGACGGGGACGCGGCGCGTGTCTGTGCCGTCGGTACCGGCGGGGGCGGCCGGCGGTCGCCGACGCGGCCCAGTCGATACGAGGGCGTCCCCGGGTCCGGCGGACCGTCCTCCCCGGTCCGCCCCACACAGCCGGCGGCGGCGGGCGGGGTCACTGGCCGGGGCGGCGCCGGCCCGCACTCGCCGGCCACGCGCCCTCCGTGCTGTGTGCAGTGGAGGACTGCGCGAGCTGGGGAGAGTGTTCACTGGACTGTCGGAGCACCCGGCTCCTCTTGGTGTAGCTCTGTGAGAGAAGAGGGCCGTGGATCACCCCGGTGTGTGAGTGATACCGGTGCGTTTGTGTGGAATGTGACAGCCGGCGACACAGCCGTCGTGGAATGTGCTGAGTGTCACCTTCCGGCAACAGGTATGTGACGCGGAAACCGCAGCGGTGCTTCGTACCGGACGGTTCGCACCCAATATGGTCTGAGCTGGAGGGCTGCGGTTTGCAGACAGAGCTCCCGCAGCAATATTTCAATCAACTTGTTTTCGTTCCCATCGTTGTCCCTGACGAAGTGAACATTGAAAAGAAAAATATCGGTGACTGGCAGCTGTAGCTTTCCTTATTGCTGAGAATTACCCATTCCGTCAATTAAGTGGGCATTGTGTTTAGCGATTCTTTAACCATAATTAATAGGACGAGCACGCAAGTAGCTTCGCTGACGGTTTCGTGCACGGATTGTGTTCGATCTCATTCCCGTTTCAAATGTGCGACAGCCTCTGAATGGAAATGGTAACCTGTCGCCCTAGACGGCCCACCAACAAACCCCCATCCCCCCTCCCCACCGTCCCCCCGGACCATCAGCTGAGTGCCGCGCCCACCCTGTGGGACGGCAACAACAGCTGGAGGTGACCTTGGAGCCCTCGTACTTTATAGCGGTCACTGTTTCACTTGATTTGAAACATTGGTCGCCGTGGTCACGCGTCATTGCGTCAGCATATAAAACGGCCTGACAGACCTTATCCACAACACTGTGACCCTTTACGACATCTCCGAGTCTGTCCATACATTGACTCTGTGTGACCTCAGGTTGACCTCTGACCTCTGTTCCAGGGACGAGTTGCCAGTGCAGCTGCAGCTGCCGGCCAGTCTTCAGCGCGTCAAATCCCGCCACCAACTCTCCTCTCTGGCTCTACTTGGACAAGGTAAGACGACCAGACTTCTATAGAGAAGGGAGAACGGCGGATTTCTGCTGAAACTCGATCGCAGTTTAAATTTTCTAAGTGACTCAGAAGATAGCCAGGTCCGCCCGTGTCAACAATGACAGGAAAACGATTCTGGAGTTTTAGTGGCGACCCAATTTAGCAAACGGTGCATTCTGATGAGTAATGATGAAATCCAACCTGCTTTATGCAAACGTCCAGCTGCATAGCGCATTCTTACTTAAACGTATGTGCAAACTAAGCGCTGCAATTGCAGTGGGCTGTATCGCAGTGCTCGGCAGATCGACAGTTTGTGATTGAGACCGCTGTGACTGTAGCTACACGGCTACTCGATTACCTCTCGCTGCATTCCATCTCACGTTCCGTTATGCAGCGGGATGGAGGGGAGGGTGCGCCGTGCGCAGGACAGTGTCCCTCACCTCCCTGCCCACACACATTCTCTGACGCACGTGCCGAGTGCACGGTGCAGTCCCTGATACCGTGGTGGCGCGCTGTGCACGTGGGACGCTCCCTGTGCGTGTGTGTCCCGCCCTGTCCTGCGCCGGTGGCCGTGGGGCGGGCTTGCCGGCGGTGGGTGGGCCGCGACTGACGCGTGGGCTCTCTGATCGTGTCTGCAGAGTTCTGGACCTGCCGGCTGCCCAGTGAGTCCCGCAGCACGGGCAGCGGCGGTGGAGGGAGGACAGACGCGCGGGACAGCGCCGGAGGAGCCAACAGCATCGGTTCATCACCCGCCAGCAGCCTCAACAAGCCGGCCGGCCGCGGCGGCAGCCACTCGAGTCTGGAGAGTCCGGCCGAGCCGGCGGTGCTGCTCACACTGGCGCCGCTGTCTGCCGACGAGCGACCCCGACCGCCGGGCTCGCTGTCCCTGGGACCGGACGCCGGCTCCCTGACGCGGCTCGTCAGTCCGGAGCTGGTCAGTCGGGTCAGCAGCCCGTCGGCGACCACTGGCCGGGCGGCGCCGCGCCCGCCGGCGCGCTGGTGCCAGCCGCAGAGCGCCGCTCCGCCGACGGAGCCGGCCGATGCCGCCGGTAACGTCGTGTCGACGGCGACGTTCCAGGTCAGCTCGACGGCCAGCGGCACGGTACGCAGTGAGATGAGCGTGTTTATCGGAGGGGCGGCCCCGGCCGCGGGGCAGCTCGGTCAGACGGAGAAGGAGACGCTGCCTCAGGAGACGAAAGCCGACCCGACCTCTCCAGGATCCTCTCCGGGAGACGAGGTCGCACCTCTGGCCGGCGGGCTCCGCGCCGGCCGCCGCAGGGGACGCAAGAAGCGTACCAGCGAGCCGCTGGAGTCTCCAGCTGCCTACTGCCGCAGTTCCGTGGCCGACAAGATCTCCGACTACGAGGATATCTGGGCGTCGCCCGCTCGTGAGACCCCGCCGGTCGGCAGTCCGTTCTCAGCCTCCGCGGCGGTGTCGCGCGCGAGTCGGGAGACGGCCGCTGCGCTGATGGAGATGGCCCGCGAGGCGGCCTCCCCGAGCCCGCTGTACGCCGTCCCGGCGGACGCGCTGCGCGCCCAGCCTGACCTAGTGGCGGGCGTGGGACGGCGCGCGCCCGCCGACCGCGCGTCCCACCGGCACTCGGAGCCGGCGCTATGTGGATGGGAGCCGGGCGTGCCGGCCGCGCGGCGACCCACCCTGCCCACGATCTGTGCTGGACAGGAGGTACACCACGCGGCCAGTGCTGACCAGCTGTCCCCACCGCCGCGCGCTGTCCGACCCTCCGCGCGCTCTCAGAGCAGCCGGGCTGTGGGTGAACAGGTGCGTCAGCGGCGCGCCCGCGCCGAGCAGTGGCGCCTCGACTCCAGCTGGGAGTATCTGAGGGAGGACGACTGTGACGCCGACTCGGAGTGGGACGAAGAGCCCGCGGAGCGTCCCGAGCGGCCCGCCACGCGACTCACCGAGTCGACCGAGCCGATCCCGGACCCCACGGCAGACATCTCGCCCGAGGAGCAGACCCGTATCGTGCACGCCATCATCCGACAGAGCCTCCCCATGGCCGTGCCGCCTGCGGCCTCGGTCTCTGCCTCCGACTACGACAACATCCGCCCCTCGGCGCGCGGACAGGCCGGCCGCGGACACGCTGTCCGCCCCACCTGTCCCGTGGACATGGGCGCGGACACAGACGCCGAGACGGACACGTCCAAACTCCAGTCCATCATGCGTCTGATGAACGACCAGCTGCGTCTGAAGAGTGGACAGTTTGACGCTGACGAGAGGCTGTTCACCGACTCCGAGTCGTTTGTGGCCGTGCACGGGACAGAGCGGCCGGAGGAGCTGGAGAGAGAGGTGGAGTCGCCCGGCCGGCCGCTGCCGCCGCGCCTGCCGCTGCCGAGGTCCCAGCAGGAGTCACTATATTGTGAGTATCGGGGATGGGATGGACTGGGCCGGGCCGGGCTGGACTGGACTGGACTGGACTGGACTGGACTGGAATGGACTGGACTGGACGGGGATGGTGGTATAAGGGATATATAGTGGGACATACATGGGGCTTAACGACGATTACGTCATCTGATGCTCAGGTAACTGAACTGATTTTTAGCAAGCACTTGCGAGCTTTGTTACACCCATGTCTACATTACTGTGCCCGTGTGTCCTTGTTTATTTATAACCTTGACTGTCGACTGAGCGATATCTCAAACCTGCTGACGAGAATATGACGTGAGTTCTACTCTGTGATAACATCTCCATCCGTGTTCGCGAGATGTGATGTCATGATGTTTTCTGGTGCCCACTTGATGTCCTACCTCGTGACAAGGACCTTAACCTTGCCATGGAAACTCAAAACTCGTGGCTTAGGGATCCTCTCGTGACGAGTTTCTTTTGCCCTGGCTGAATGGCCGCGGACCCGGACCAAAATCCGTTACTGAGGGGGAACCTCCCTCAACGGTCAACAATGACGCGGCTCCGGAAACCCACAGAAATCGTGACTGGGGCGATTTTCAGGGCCAACGGCTGGCCATTAGTGTTGTCTGCTTTTTCACGTCAAATTTAGCTCACGCTGAACTAAACGAAACGGGTCATTGGTTTCGTACAATGATCCGCTTAAACCATGAACCTTTTTGGCCTTCCAGCATTAATTCCAAGCCTTTATCGTGAAGTCAAAGTTATTCCGATTCATAATGACTGCTGAGCGCTGCCTTTTGGTTGGTACTATTACATATAGGTACGAAACATGAGACTTTATTTCGGTCTACCAAATAGTTGACTGCAATTGATCTTGTCATGTCGCTAAAGCTACTTGGCTACCGAGGACAGTCCTCGCCCTTCGCGCCTTATCCCTAACCGTTTCATTGTCCCCTTTCTCCGCAGCTCCTCCTCGTCTGAACAGCCTCCGACTCCACCGCAAGAGCCAGCAGTCGGGCGCCGCCATCCGCGACTACGTCATCAAACTCGCCAACGACGACGACAGCACGTTCGCGCTCTGCATCTTCAACTTCCTGAAGGTCGGTGCTCACATACTGTTGGAATGATTTCATTTAAATATGTAAGCAAGAAGCGGAGATAATCGTCACAAGTCAGTGGCTAGTAAGTTACCCCTGAGGCTTATCTACTGTTCATTATACATTGTATTGTCAATATACATCCGTTTTAACCCTCCCCTCCTCTGTGTTATTTTCAGTGCACTCGTGAGGGCGCCGAGACGGACCCGCACGTGGTAATGCGCAACATCCGTCAGTTCTGTAACGGCATGAAGAACTACTTGGTGAAGCACGGAGAGGGCGAGTTCCATCAGGTGGTCCACCAGGAGCGCAGCAAGGTGGGTGCCGAGAGAGTGGCCCTGAGGATGGGATGGGGGGAAAGACGGGATTAGGTGGGGGTGGGGGAGAAAGAGGAGAGATAGGAAACAGAGGGGCAGGTCGCCATGCCTGGGCCAGGATTAGTTGATTGAATAGCTGATGTGCTCGAAAAGTTATCGCTATAGTTAGGCAAAAGGACAAGTTAAACTACGATAACATTACCATGCCTGTTTTACAAAGGTAAAACAACACCCCACGCATTACGTGAAACGCTGGGTGGTTCGCTTTGTCATTGCGGTTCCAGTCTTGCTCAAGGAAGTCTGTTTCGTCAGCACGGCGGTGCCCGCCTGTCATTTGATGGAAATGTTTCAGCTCTCCGAGACAGTCAATCACCAAACTTCGATGAAGCAGTTTGCTTTGATTGGCCCCGGTCCTGATGGGGCTCGTTACTCGGAAATTTGATTTATCAATCACGCGCTGGCATTCCGTATTGATCGCTCAGTAATGTATCACAACACTTCAGCTGTATGAGATGGCGTCATCTCAAAACCTGACACCCGTATCAATCAGCGCATTGACCGTTTCACGTTCTTGTTTCCCCAGCTGTCTTCCACCGAGTTCCTGAACCTGGACGCCATCTTGGAGGGGGTACTGGAGGAGCTACTGGTCCGTCCTCTCCACGACCACATCAGCGCCCTCTGGCGGCGGACGGCTCAGCGCAGCGGCGACTCCCAACGGCTGACGGAGAACTTTGAGCTGGCGCGGCGCCGGCCGACCGAGACGCTCGGTCTGAAGAGGGACCAGACGCCGCCGTCTGCGGCAGTTCTCGGCTCGGTGCGTCACTTCCTGGGCAGGATGCAGGACTCGGCCAGTCCGCTGGACAAGCTGGAGAGCCTGCTGGCCACGGTGTCTGCGCTGTTCTCGGCGGCCGGGGAGCGGGACGCGTGTATCCCGGCTGATGACTTCCTGCCGCTACTGCTGTACGCGCTGGTGCACTGTCACGTCACCAATGTCGAGGTCAGTTGCTCACCAACGTGATCAGTTTGTCACCAATGTCGTACTCAGTTATTCATTCATTTGCACAATAGCCATCATGACCAAGTGATCTCCATGGAGTGCAGTTGAGCGGCCTTCTTGAGGTCAGGTTATGCCGACCTTTGGTGGTGCCTCTAGGTTTTTATCGGTAATCACGTCTTCCATGTTGTTGGAAGTTAACAATTCTTGCTTAATGAATGCTCGGGTATCATACCGCGTTTTCTGTCATCACAGACGTTTTGCGTGCCAACGACTCTCTGACCAATCACCCCTCCTGTTTTACCGTCACAGTTTGAGGCGGACTACATGTGGGGACTGCTGCACCCGATGCTGCTGAATGGGGAGGCCGGCTACTACCTGACCATGCTGTCCTCGGCCGTGCACGTGCTCAAGAACGTGCTACAACATCCGGGAGATAAGGCCAACGACTCGACCACAAGGCTGTCACAGGTGAGATATGGGTTGACGAAGTGAGAAGCCGCTCGGTACGCACGTCTGTCGGTGAGAATATTTTATATAACAACTCTTTTTTTTCAATGCGGAAATCGGATTTACAAAAAAAAAAAAAATATTTCCGTTATGTCTCGTCTATGTAAATAGCCCTTGAATCATTCTAATTCACCGGCGCTAGCTACGTTTTTACTGTGTCGCTCACCATTCCGGACCTCTCTCTCCCCTCAGCGTTCGGGCAGCGGCAGCGGCTGCGAGCCCGTGGAGGGTTTCCTGCGCGTGGTAATTCCCGATGAGCAGCAGGGTACGATCCTGAGCCGTACCCTGCCCTGCCGGCCGGGCGCCACGGCCAGGGATCTGTGCAGGATGCTCGACCACAAACTGCGCATCACCAGTCCGCAGGACTACGGACTCTTCAAACTCATCAATGGCGATGGTGAGAGAGGAGGAAAGGAGAGGGCAGGGGAGGAAGAAACGGATGTGGGAGTAGGCGATTGTGTTTGGAGGGGAGTGAAAAGAGGCACGAGAACGTATGGGGATGGAGAGGTCGATAAGCCTTCGCTGTGAATTTATTATGTGCAAGGCCACTCCAATCTTAACCCGCTTAAGACCAGAAACAACCCAACGTGTACGATACTAGCTTGACTGGCCCACGCTACCCGTAAAATGTTCTTTTATGTATCTTATGTCCCGTCCGTCCTCCGTCCGTTTCACAGAGACGCTGGTCGGCGACCTCGAGTGTCCCCAGCTGGTGAAGCAGGAGCTCGCCTCCAAGGGCGTTCACTGCATGTTCTCCTATAAACGGCTGGAGGCCAAGATCGCCTGGCCCACCGGTCAGCTGTGACGTCATTGGGTATAATCCGCAGGCAGCTCTGACGTCAGCGGTGCAGGAGAGTGATTCGTATCGCGCCGAGAAGTGTTATTTTCTGTGTCCTTGCGCCTATATAAGTCTGTTGAGAGTTGTGGATACGCTGGGGCGATATCCCCAGGCAGCATCGCTCGCTAGTAGAGCTCTACAGCGGTGGAGAGCGCCGGCGCAGTGCTGAGGTGTCGGTGCTGCCATCTGTGGCCGAGTGGCGGAACTTGTAGTTGGCGAGTGGTCCACGAGGATCTGAGTGACCGTGATCTGCGAGTGGTGTTATTTTAGTGGAGAGCCGACGAGTGAGCGGCTGGGCGGAAACGATGGATTATCTAGTCAGAGTCCGCAGCAGCAGTTACACAGGTTTTCCACTTTACTAATGCAATATATCTGCGTTTGTTGTCTCCGATCTGGGTTTTGTAGCCAGGGTATGGGTCAACGAGGCATGATGGCTGATGCTGTGCAGAAAATCACATGCCAATGGTAACTAGATAGTCCAGACTCTGAATGTACAGATAAGAAAAGTAAAACAAGAAATAAAGGTGTGATCAATAAAAAAAGATATTAGGGATAAATGCAAGTCAGGCGAACCCCGAAACAGCACACGCCTCTTAGCAAACAGAGGCTCTGCAAATCGTCTTACCGTATACGAGATCTCGGTCGGGCTCGGGAGAACTGCGAATTCTGATCCTCTGAGCTGAACAGCAGTGCAGTGGCTTGATGACATCCTACTGATGTTGAGTGACGACCGCGGCGTCCGCAGCTCTCTGGGTCTCGCAGCTCACTGTCGAAGGAACGGTCACAAATACGGGCTGAGGTTACGGTTGTCTTTGAGAGGGTCGGGGGATAAGAGGGAGGCTCTGGTTTCGCTGGTTTGTTTGTTTGTTTTGTTGGGTTAGGCCCTTTCGGTCCAATGAAACCATTTCAGAGCCGGGAGGATGATAGGATATAGGGGGAGACATTGGTCTGGGCAGGCACCCTAGTGAGTCGCCGGGGTTGAGCCCGTCCAGAGGACAGCCCACCCAGCCCCAAGGCACTCACTGCACCCGGCTACGGGGTGCGCTCCCTCGGGAGCAGCGGTGCCGCTCCAAGGGAGCAGCCCGCATGAGATAAAGTTGCCTGACCAGCCCGGAGGGGGCTGCGGCGTGGAGGAGAAGGATTTAAGTATCCTGAGGACAGAAGCACGTAACGGTGGTTTCGCTGGGAGGGTAGCCAGTAGCCACTAGCCAGTAAGGCGGCAGTACGTATTTACCTACTCCTACCAAAGCAATCCTGAAGTGAAGTTTGCTTGAGCTTTCCAATGAAGAGACTTTTAGGACAACACAATAAACCATTAAGCAGTAAGCTTCAAGGCAACCTTCACGGTAAAATTCACTTCAGCGGTACGATTGGACGAGACTCTTTTGTGCCCCTAGTCCTAGACAAAGCCCTCCCTGAGCGGTAGCTAGCGACATCTAGAAAATATCACATTGCAGTGCTTACAAATCCTCCTAGATGTCGCTGCAACCGAGCTTCGCGCGTTTTCATATCGCGTCGGTGGCGCGCGGCGGCAACTCGGCCAGTTTCTGCTGTCTGCTTGGCGGGTGTTGAGCGGTGCGCGTCGCGGGCTGGACCGTTCCTGTATTTGTCGAAGGGCTTCGGCGACTGTGCAATAAGAAAGTTGAAGAAGTAGATTACGGGCCAAAGGAAGATATTTATGCACCAGTAAACCATCGGCGCCTAATTATGAAGGCGATACTGAAGTTCAGCTTGGTTTTCTTCGCGGCCATTGCAGGTTAGTTCTTGCCAGGTTTTTGACCGGCAAGTTTCTATATTTTATTGTATTTCCTATTTTTGTTTTTGGCAAAAGAAGAACATTATGTTTCTTTTCCACAATTCCTGATCCTCAATTGCATTATTAGTTTCTCGATAGCTCGCGTCCCGCGTATTGGTGCAACCGGTGGAGCTGTAATGGCGGCGATGGAAAATCCCGGAAGCGAAGCCCGAAGCTAGATTTGCACAAGGCGATGAATTAATTTCAGTTTCTAACCACTAGCCGTGATATTATTTTTACTTATTTAGTGAGCGTATTTAATACAAGTTACCTCTGGCGCTGTGCCGGGGATGGAGGCATTTGCCTTTGGGGCGCTACAGATGTCCCCTCCCCCTTCCTCCCTTTTTCCCTTCCCCCTGGATCAGGATCTGTCAAAGTAAAAAATATTCAAAACGTGTTTGAACTTGCACTGTATGCTGAACAACGTTGATCCCTTAGAAATGCCTTATCCCTGAGGCGAAAGGGCGGCACGGGTTTATCATAAAACTGACTTTCTGATCTTGGATGCTCAAATAAAATGTGGTGTTTCTCGCACCACTTCAGGAGGATAGACGAATTATTCGATTCCAGTGCTCGTTACCTCGCTCTTTGCGAAGAGCTCGGTTACAGCGGCTTACCTTCACATCGTTAGCGGGCGCGATTTGTGCTGTTTTCATGGTTTCCACGCGACACTGTGACATGCTGGAGCGACATGTCGCCTTCTCACGATGTTCCCAGTCACCCACTATCGGGGATAAGTCATCAATGTCACCAAAACGAAGAGAACGGTTATTGTCATCACGAGCTCGGCGCTTTTCTTGGAAGGCGCGGCAGTTTATCCCGCTCTACAGAAGTACTCAGATATACCTGTGTTGTTTTGCCACGACAGTTGCCTTTCGTGACTAAATTGATGTATATTTTCTGGATAAAATATAGCTAAGATCTGTTCTACAGGAAACGATTTTGTTGCCAATGCCATGATCGATTAATTTTTCGTGATTTGTTTCAGTAGGTATATAAAACTAATGCTGAGACTTCAAAGAAACAGATGAATTGAATTGAGCTCTTGATTCTAATTCTTGAACGAACTTTAGCCCATTCAATCTGAATCAATTATGTTGGAAAAAAGTGAGGACTTTCTCACATTATGATCAAAGTGTACCCCAAAGATAACATTGATCGCATCTACCGCTATTTTCGAATAAGACCGCTTGTTTATCGATTGGTTCCTATGCATAGTGTATGGAGCGAATGGTCAGCAATTCTTCTTCCTGGTAGGTATGTGCTGTTTTCACATCACCATATTTTGGCTATGTGGCGTATTTCTGTCTCATACAGACCAAACGCGTTCCCTATGATGATCCATCAGGAAAGCGTCACACCGCGCGATGAGTTGCATATCTAACGCAAAGAGCCGATGTATTTTCGATCGCAGCGCGCTGCTCTCTTGGCGTTAATCCCAAGGCACTTGCGTGCCTTTGGTCGGCCTCTGAGCCGCCTTTTGACCAGTGGAATGCCGTCTCGACCCGTGCTGCCTGGGAGTGTGTGAGTGTGAGTGGGGAGTGGGTGGGGAGGAACTCGCCGGGATGCCAGTTTTTGTTCCGTCGCTGCGCCGACTTGGTTCCACGGCTTTCTTCCTTACCGACATACCGACGTTGATGTTGCATTTATTACCCGCACCGCATTTGCCTTTGCGTGGAAGGTTAAATGTTGAAGAAACTCGTGTGTATGATAGGACACGCAAGACATTCGTGGGTGAATTGTGATTCGAGATTAGTTCAGCTGTTTTACAATAAACTCATTTGCAAGTTTTAATTGTTGTTCAAGGCTGTTGTGAAACTAGTCAAACACTCGACTTTCAATGCGATGTTTACCTTTGTTTGCACGATGCCGATTTATGCGCCACAAGGAGTCTAGAAAGATTACCTACTGGAGTTTTCCAATGTTTCTCAAATGCAGGACTAAACTCGAGAGTTAAATAGCTGTATAATGAGACGTTGAGCCTTCTGAACCATGGTGAGATTGTTTTCTTATTTTTGCTATTTTTATTTCTGCTTTTTCTCTCATTTCTTATTTATTGTCCTTAGGTTTACATCCAAACTGAAAAGCTAAATTTATATCGCATTTAATGGAAGAATGAGAACCGACGGATTGATTTGTTGCGCTCCCATAACCTTTTCAAAATAGCTTATTTAGATGAAGAGCTAAGATGCAGAAACATATATTTATTACGAATCCAACGAAGCAACGTTCATTTGCTCCCTTACACATACTACACAAACAGGTTATAACTTTCAATTCAAGCTTCAACAACCGCGAATTCTTCTGATCTTTCCGTCCCGTCCCATCCCATCCGTCTCCCATCCCGTCCCGTCTCCCAATCCGTCCCATCCCATCTCCCGTCCCGCTCGTCCCGTCCCGTCCCATCTCTCCTAGTCACAGGTGGTCGTGTGTACCGTCATTATCTCCCTGGGCTCCCCGGGCTATACAGCCCACAGCTGGCTGTCATAAAACGCCGCATGGATTGGAGCCATACGCCGGCACCGCACCCGTATCTGGACCGACTAATTACGAGGAGGTGACGCGCTGCCCAATATGGGTGATTGCTGTGCGCTGCTCATCATTATTGTCGAAAGCTGAAAATTACTGTTTTATTTTGTATTTTGTTCATGAGTTTTGGTAAACGTAATGCAGCATGCCTATTCTCGTATTGAATCTACGCTCAATACACTCAGGCCTTTTTCGGAGAAGCAAGGTATTATGCCAGTCCGTATTTCATGTTCCATACAATGTCCTAAAATTTGTCGATTTGGGTGGGAAACGACATCCAAATGAAATTCATTTTCCACTCTCACCACCAATTTTTAAGAACAATTTTCCACTCCCAACCAAGAAAACCTAGATTTTTTACCTATAGAAAGAGCAGTTGTGTGGGTGCCCGGTTTAGCATCAAACATTCTACAGTGCTACACCCTAGAATAAAATGCATGCTTTTTGTTGTTTATCACTCTTTTTGGATCTAATCGAATCAGCAGTTTTCCACTCTCTCCCCTCTTTTTGGTGGGTAATTTTCCCCTCTGACACCCAAGACAAAACTCAGTTTTGGGACACTGGTTCCATATACGCTATTCGTTTGACCTTTGTTTGAACTGTCTTGTAACGGTAAGACACGCTCGGCATTACATCATAACCTCTGTTTCAAATTCCTCGCCCCCGTGCACGCGCCGTCCGTTGTATTCGCGCCCGCATCCTGGGGCTGCCGCGGCAGCTGGCCTGTGCCGGTCCGCCGCCGCCGGCGCCGGAGCCGTGATACTCATTACGAGCGCGTCGGACCATCCTGGACGTGCCGGGCCCGCCGGGAGGCCAGTAATGACCGGGTACTGCCGAGCGGCCAGCGTCGGCTGCCAGAGGCGCAGATCGAGGCACTCCACTACACGCAGACAGTGTCGGAACGGGGCAAGAGTGCCTGAACAGCGCGGAGTGTCGGCACGCGGGTGCCCGTTGGGAGGTGTCTTGCTGGCAGCACACAGTCGCCAAGCGCGAGAAGCTGTCGCCAGGCGTTGCCCAAGTTTTGCGGCAAGGCAGCGATTTGGTACCGCGCCGTGCGGTAACTGCCTGTGATATATCGCCTGTCCGACCGAGATGATTTAGTTGGAAATTACACCCCTGTCTGGCATCCGCGGCTGTCAGCGATATTGCCGGAACGTGGGCCGATCTCCGCCCCGACATTGCTCACGTGCCGGGTCGTGCCCGGGCTGCGGCTGTGGCTATGCTCGTCTGGCTGGCTGGCTGGCTGGGTGGCCGTCTGGTTTCGTCCGGAACCGAGAGCCCCGGCTGGAGCTGGGGAGCGGTGCCCGGGTCGAACGGCTGCTGCAGCTATGCGGATATCGTGCCGGGGCACGTATTATCGAGCTGCCACAGCCCTCCCCTCCCCACCAGCTCTGGCCCCCTAGTTCCGGCTGATATTTACCTCTGTCTCAGCTGCACAACCTTTTACAGCGTGCTGGGATCAGGCTGAACCCGCCCTCTGCCCGGACGTTACTCCATTCCGGGTGTCAGACTCTGAGTCTGACTCGGTGTTTTGTCATGCCCTTCTCCTCGACTCCCCGCCCGGACGGTGCTCCATTCCAGGTCTGACTCGGTTTAGCGTCATGACCTGACTCTGTCTCCCTGCCTCCCTGCCTGCCTCTCTGACTCTCTGACTCTCTGCCTCTCTGACTCTCCGACTCTGGCATTGACGGAGGGGACGACGCGCGGCGGCGGCGGCCGGTCCGCTGCCGGCCCATTCAGCTGTCTCGGGTCGGGTCACAGCTCGGCGTCACCGGCAGCCGTCATCCGTCATCATCAGTCCCCGGTTCAGAGCGGTGTTGACGCCGGTGCCGCCTCCCGTGGCGCGCCGGGGAGACCGGCGCGGCCCCGGGCACGCAGGGCATTCTGAGGCTGACCTCCGGGGTCAGTGAGGTTGAAATGCTCCTAAGGAGAGAGAAATGAGGGAGAGGGATTGGGCTGAAACTTTGTTTGAGTGTGAAGTCGACTGTATGAGACCAGGCTGGAGATCAGTGTCAGGCCAGACAAGCCAGGCTACCGTCCGATTTAATAGGGACATTATTTAGAGGTTGAATAATAGATAGGGGTTCGGGGCGTAATGTCAGCCTTGATCCCTAAGTACCGTCAGCTCACGCGGAATAATCCATAGCGTGGCGCAGAGCGGCCTGCACCCGTCCCCCAGTGTTTGAGTTGGTGCGCTGAAGTGAAATACGGGCCACCCCGAGCCGTCACAGCAGTGACACTGAGTAGGATGACCGTGAGTCGGTCAGTGCCGTGAGACTGATGAGACTCGCCCGCCCAGTGACAAGGCGGCCTGAACAGAGACACGCTACTCCGCGTCAGTTCGCAGGGCGAATTACATCAATCAGTCTTTGGCTCTTTACACTATCGTCACTGGAATTTCGACCGCTGCCGGTTGCGTCAGCCTCCTCACC